CAACTGGCACAAATCACTGGGCACAAAGCCTAGGGAGGAAGGCAGAATAGTTATGGGATCTGGAGCTGATAGGTTCGACTCACTCACTTAGCAGTGTTGGAACATTTAAGAATTACTTAGGACCACTAATCTTCATATACGAAATTTCTTATCAACAAAGACAATGTTTCCTAAATAGTAATGTTTAATCTTTGGGGGACATTAAATATGTTTATATATGAGGAAACAATGATCATGGTGCATGGTAATCTTCAAGGAAATTAGGTGAATATTTTAAACAGCAGAAAGTGACATTTTAAAAAGTGGTGTTCTTGTAATCATGCAGTGTGGAAAGGTCTTCCTTATGCTAAATTTGAAGGAAGCACTGCAGCAAAGAAGAGATTCCTGATTCATGCACACACACATACACACACACAAACACACACACATTATTTGTTTTTCAGGACATTCAGGGACTTATCCAATAATGCAGATTTCATCTAATAAGATCAAGGTACTGGGTCTGGAGCAATAGCACAGCGGGTAGGGTGTTTGCCTTGCATGCGACCAACTCGAGTTCGATTCCCAGCATCCCATATGGTCACCCAAGCACCGCCAGGGTGATTCTTGAGTGCAGAGACAGAAGTAACCCCTGTGCATCACCAGGTGTGACCCCAAAAGCAAAAAAAAAAAGATCAAGGTACAGGGTAAGGCTGAAGATAAATGTATGTGTGCAGATACATTTTATTTTATATATGGAGTATATAATTTAATATACGCTTAAATGAAATGTTCCAAAATATTTTAATCAATAGGAGTTGATTGAGATTTTGTTAAACATATTAAAAGTTTTCACTACACATGACATGATGGTATCTAAACTGTACTTCATTCCAGGAAATACTTCAAACAATTTGTTAAAAATTTATGAAAAACATAAAGTATATTAAAGTATATGTTGTCTTACATAATAAGATACATGAATATATTTAATACATAATGCCAAAATATTTAATTGAAAGAAATTTTTTAAGACATTGATTATTGCAGCATTTCAATTTGTTACATTTACATCAGATTTTTATTAACTAAGTAAAAAAAAGCCTAATTTAATTCACGTTTGAGAAAAACTACCAAATTAAGTGAAAACCAATCACAAATTTATATTGATGACCTGATTTTACCTTAATCTTAATACATTGTCCCATACATATAACAACATCAATAAAGCATAGAAGCATAGCTTCAAAATTATAGGCATCAGTTGTCTTTTTATACTTATGATGGGATTGAATTGAGATATTTTTCTTTCTATCATATTAGAATCAAAAAATATATTCCATTACACAAAACTATCAGTTAAATAATAAATCCACTTTTGAATTTTTAAAACATACACACTATTGTGACCACTTTTACAAATCATAACATATTGGAGTGTTAATTTAAATACTAAATTTTTTCAAAAATAAAATGAAGTTAATGTGACAAAAAGAAGAAACACTGGCAAAATATTAATTTTTTTGTCTGATAATAATTCTAAGATCCTAAAAAAACACACAGACCCCAAACTCATAGTCAGTGATTCTTTTTTAATATTTTAATGAAAAGAAATGAGATTTTTATTATGTCTTTAAGATTTTCAGAAAAAAATTTACCAAACAAAACTGTCAGTTTGATGTTAAGATTACCCAAAAATGGATAAATTTGTATTTTTTGATCCAATCTGATGAAGTGAAAAATAATATAAAAAAAAGTAGAGGTAAAGATAATAATCTGGATTCATTAAGGACTGTTTTGTTTCAATGAAATGTATATAAAATATCTATTTTTAGCATTTACATATTTTTTATTTTATTACTCAAATCTAATGTTTTATGATTAAATACTTTGAAGTATTCAAATATTTTGAGTTGTATAAGTGCTAATAATGAAAGATTGGGTGGACATGTCTGTCTATGTAAAAATATAAGAAAATGGCTGAGACACCTGACTTTCATGCAGCACTGATGTTTCATTTTTGTGAATGTTAATTTTCCACTAATTTCAACATAACATTTTTGGATATTACCTGAGTGGATTTCTAGAAATATCATTCAATATTTATATTGTGCAATGATAGAGTAGTACTTGGGTAGAAAAGAACTTGCCTGGAAAATAATAAACATTAATAGTATGTGCATGTACTGAAATAAAGCACAAACAATTTAAAGAGGTTGTGTACTAATTTTCTATCTTTAGTGAATATGCTGATGGCTTTTTTGAGTCAAGAACAAAGAAATGTTATATACTTGTTTTTTAATACCTTTCACTAATTCCATTGCAATGATAGATTGTATTATTGAGTTAAAATCTTTACTGAATTCCAAACAAAGATAAGATAAGGAATAAAGTAATAATTTCAAATAAAGTTCTTTAAATATATGTCTTCTGGAAAGTTGACACCCTTCATCTCTTTTTCTGAAAACAGAATTAGATTTTCAAACTGCATTTCAATACATCTTGGAGTATGAAATAAATTTGTAAGTGAGCACACATTTGACCCTTTGAAAATTATTTTGTAATTTTTCTATAAATTATAATACAATTATTAAATTTTAAATTATTATTAAATTTTAGCCATTGAGATAAAAATTGAAAGCAAAATATTTTTGTAATGGTTCCAAATGTAATCTAAGTTAGAAGTATAAAATAACAGTATTAATTTTGTCTGATTAATTTTTATGTCATGAAAGAATATTTCCAAAAGAGATGAAGTTATCTTTTCATTTGAATACTATATCTATTTTTTTACTGACTGAAATTCATTATGAAAAGATTAGTGGTAACAATGTAGAAGTGAGAGTGAAGACTCAAAATTCACATCAAGGACTTCATTTAAACTACATGCTATCATGGGTATCAATAGGAATATAGATCATGGTAATTCACCCAAGAATTTTAGAATGAAAAATTAATTTCTAATAGCATTTTTACATCTCATTTTTTCTAAAGCAGGTGAATAGTTCATATATTCTAAAAATTTACAACATAGTAAAATAATATTGTTACTGTTAAGATATATTAGGAAAAAAATAACAGTATAACCAAAAGCGTATTTCTTAAAGTCAACTGTTGCTGATTAACACATTTCTGCTCATATAATAATAGTTTATTTTCATATTTCATTCCACATTACTTATAACTGACTTTGAACTCTGCATTGATTTTAAGATGTTACAGTGAAGTTTCTAGAAAAAGAAATGATTCTTCTTTGGCTCAACTCATGCATGGGTGCTCCAGCACTAGCTTAGCATTAAGCAAACAACATTTTACAAATTTCTCTTTCAAACATTTAATTACTCTGTAATAGACCTTTTCCTATGAATTTTTAATATTCATTACCTTTCATTTTCTCATTTTTTTAAACTTGCAAACCAACTATTAGTACAGTATTAATACACTATTATAAACATTTAATTAAATGATGAAAGAAAATTATGAGGTTTGGGTTAGTATTTAAATAAATTGGGGGTTCCTTATTAAAAATTTAATATATCACGTCCTCTTAGGAAATAGTCTAAGATAAAAATAAAACTTCTTTTATTGTTACTAGCCAATGGCATTGGGTTAGACATTTAATATGTTCTTTCCATTTCCTTCCCTAATTAAAGACTATTTACAAAGTCATAGCCTAAAAACACATTTTCCATTTTACACACATGTCAGGGAATTCAATACAATTAAAGACTGAAAACAGATAGAAAAATCATCCAGTTTTTTTCAATCATATTAATAAAGTTTATTAACTTGCCTGAAACTTCCAGGAAAGTTTAAATATTTAGGAAATTTGAGCAGAAAATTACCAAGTTACTCAGTCCACTATTAACATACTTGATTATGTATGACTAAATACAATATTTCTTCTGAAGGACATTTTCTAGAGTGAAATTTCATTAGGTCAGAAAATACATAATGTAAATTATGTTAATCAACATGATTTGAACCTAACTTGATACTTAACTTTTTTTTAGCCATAAATTTGTTATATTTCTATGCCAACAATGTATTAAGTAGATGCTGGTTTCTTAAGTTATCAAGGACAGTCTGTTCTATTGAAAGAAGCACTAACAGATGTTTTATCACAGCATTTCAGAAAGTTTCATCCTGGTAAAATTTTTAGAATATATTAAACACTTTAATTTTTATGTTTAATAACCTGATTTGCTTGCTTGGAAAATCTCTGTTACTTTTTATCCACAGCTCTCTAATGTCGTACCTCCCCCTAAAACCTTGCAGAGAGATACCAAATTAAGACATTCTCTAGTTAAATAGCTTAAAAATCAGAGTTAAAGTAAGAATCTCTCAATTTATGATGATGCTTCTTGTTTTTATTGTTTTCTTTTTAGGCCAACCCAGGATCAAATACAAAGGAAATAGTTCAGGGTTATATAAAAAAAAAAAGAATCTTAAACACATCTGGGAAACAACAATGAAATTTCCATTAGTTCAATAGTTCGAAATACTTGTGTGAATAGAGGTGAAAGCCAAACAGAAGGCAAACATAGTATCCAAGCCATTACTTTTAATTTTCTACTCTGTTCAAGAAGAGTGAGATTCAGAGACCATCAAGTAGTTTCACCCTTTTCTTAGAATGCTGATTATATGTAAGATTTAAAGACCCTTCCTAGGGAAAATGTTTTCCAGCTGTCAAAATTCAAGCTTAGCTAATAGTGGATCTGATGTTAAAAGGCATTGTTCCCTGATTGAGATATTTTCCCTAAGTATGCCTCGGATTCTGTTTAGATTTTTATTGCTTACCTAATTTATTTTCTGGAACAGCATTATACATCATTCTGCCCAACAAAAATAGATTTTATAAATGTCTTGGGATAATACACTGTAGTTTCTCTAATATGTAAAATAACCAAGACTCTGTAAACATTATTTCAATGTCAGTAAATCCTGTATTAGAATTATTGTCAAACTACAAAGACACTACTACTCAGAACAAACATGTTTAGGTTGAGTAATGTACTTACCCAACACAGCTCTTAAGAAATTGTGGATGAAGTATTCTTAGGATGGAGTTTGATTTTCTGAGAGACCGCAGAAGAGACTTAGTCCCAGGCAAGGTGGGGAAGAGTGAAAGCCTTGCAATGTGATCCTGCAGGCAGGCTGAGGTCCAGTTAGCAGAGCTCGATGATCCTGAAGCAGGAGGTGACACTCTCTGCTGGAGGGAGAAGGTTGTTCTGAATAGATTGGAAGTGTTGTCACATTGTATGTGCTCAGCAGCAGAAGGGAAACATCAGAGCTTCCTGTTACATCACTCTGACCCCGCCTGCAGTTAGTGTTAGGTTACTTTCTTTCTCAAATAGCATACCCCAGTAAAGCAGAACTCTTTTCTTATTCTGAGACTAGAACTAGAAGCAGCCTAAACAGAAATCATATGCTGCATGAATACATTGTTAGCGGCCAAACTGACTAGCTTTCACCTTGACCGAGTTATGTTACAGCTTGCTAGAGTTTCCTGCAGTTTGAAAGAAGCATGAATACAATATACTGCTCAACTACTCAAAAAAGTAAAGGCGTTAAGGGAGTGTATGTATGTGAGTGAGTGTGAGTTCATGTGTGTGTGTGAGTTCATGTGTGTGTGTGTGTGTGTTTTGAACATACTTTAAATGCATTTAGAAGATTTTATAGTTAATGTAATGAAGAAAACAATAGCTGCTGCCATTAATTAAGTCTATGAGCAAGCTGTTATTTGTAGAATTCTGATAAAACTGGTCCCTAATGAGATTTTCGCAGTTACTAATTAAATGAGTACATCTTATCTTGTAGGTAGGTTTTGCTATTGTTGTTGTTTTGAGGCTATTCCCAATGGTGCTCAGGGCTTACTCCTGACTCTGTACTCAGAAATCACTCCTAGTGGTGCTGGGGGACCATATAGGATGCCAGGGATCAAACCTGGGTTTGCTATGTGCAAGGCAAACACCCTATTCACTCTGCTATCTCTCTAGCCCTCTTGTAGGTTTTAAAATAATTTTATTTGGCATATGATATAATCGTGAGTATATATGTATATATACATATATACACATAGAATTATTTTAGTAAGTACATACTAATGTTATCATTATGAAGTAGAAACTATACTGCATTTATAGCTCAAGTAGCCTTAAACTGCTGGTAATTTGTAGAGTAATACTATAAAAGCATAAAACCTGTATGTATTTTAATTTTATAAAGAGGTTTTCTCAATTGTATGATAAATGTGTTTAGAAAATCTCACAAATGATCAGAGAAGAAAGTTTCAATTATTGTATGCACATGGATTGACAGTATGGTAAATGCATGAGATGTATCAGTAATTAAAATTTCTGAAATCTAGCAACAACAACAAAAAGATACTTAACCTTTTGAGGCATCAGTTTACAAGTCAGCAGCCTGGAAAAAAATAATAGATAAACAAACCTCGTGTTCTTTAAACTTAAAAAAATCAATAATTTATGTAACATATAGAAGTAAATTTGATATCAGAGTCACTAGTAAGTAAACTTGACTGCAATTTGGGGACAAAATTGCATGCTAAGACACTTTGTACACTTACAAAAGAGAACAATGTGACATAAATAAAATAAATATCATGTTTTTCAGCTGTACTCTATTTTGTTAGCATTTTTTACTTAAATCTGTTAAAGAAAATTGTACAGTCTGACTTTAAGAGCAATAGGACTATGATTGATAAAAATGCATGCGTATATAAATAGGATACATATGAATCCCAATCAATTAAGTTGGAAGACATAAGAAACATACTGATATCTATTTGGTGCTTGAGATTAAATAAGGGGAATTTTTATATTTAGATTATAGAACATTGTGTTTATAGTTAAAAAATTGCTTTGGGAAGCAAAGCAAAATTAAGTATAGCTCAGCTGAGCTATTTCTTTCAACCCATGAGAAGAAAGGTCACTGTTTTGGATTATGGTTTTTCTTGATGGTTCTTTCACCAGAAAAACTACATAAACATTCATAGGGGAACATCTTCCTAAATTTTACTGTTGAGGTTGCACACTGCTCAAGGAATCACTAAGAAAGTTGTAAGAAGTACTGAAACTAACCAAACATCCATAGTTCTGAGGTCTTTTAGTAGGTACTTTGACAAAACTTTTCAGGTGTTGGTGTTCCTTTCTTACAAGTCAAGAAAAATCAAATACTAATTTGTATTGTCTGAGTCATCATTATCAATGTCTTTTCATCTACCAGTCTTGCTGGCCTTAAAATCTAACTCCTTGAAAGTTTGTCATTTGGGAAAAATAAAGCTGACCACTAAGGCATAAGCATACAGAATTTTTGCAATGTAAATTATGGCAAACTACATTTTTGCAAATTTTCAAAGATCACAAACTTCTTTTTCCAGATTCTTTTATTACATTTGGCTACTATAATCAAGCCTAGTGAGTGAAAAAAATGTGATTTAATCTTATAGTCACACATCTCTGAACTCAAGATCATTTCTCCTCTACTGTACATGAAGTGTGCTGCTAAATGAGAAAGCTGAGAGAATTATTTGTATTCATAATACCATTAAGTCCCATGGTTATAGCCCATAAAGACTTTTATATAATTTGTGTCTGCATCATTTTTTAAAATTTTTATCACATTCAACCAGTGCTTAGGGGTTATTCATGGCTCTGCCCTCAGGAATTACTCCTGGTGGGGCTTGGGGGACCATATGGAATATCGAAAATTGAACCCAGGCTTGCCACATGTAAGGCAAACTCTTAACTCCTGTCTTATTACTCCATCACCTCTGTATTATCCGCCTTCCTTAGAAATGGAAAGCAAAATGCATCCTACTAATCATATCCTTAACAGTTGCAAATTCCAGATGATACCAATTTCATGAGGACTTATAGAGAACTATTCTGGGTACAGATAGGTGAAAAGTTGAAAAATGCAAACTTCTCAAGGACACACTGGAACATGATGACAAATATTTTGAAAAATACAGTGAAACAATAAGAAATTATTTTAATCATCAGTGAGGTGATTGGTTCATGTGTGACACTAATCAAATTAATTCAGAGCAAGTATTAACTTAATATTTCAACTTTTATATGTATGTACATACATGTAAAATATATTCAAAGAACAGATTGAAAACAGACACTTGTAATCATTGAGTAAGTAGCAATCAAGTCCATATTTTGATAAGAACTGTAATGGTTCCACTGGGAGTGAAGGAAAAATAGGATGCTCTGATCTCTAGTTGTTTACAGCAACAGTTTACTAGTACAAGAGAATCAAGGAGCAAATTTTCTGTAATTAGCAACTCTTTTCCCCTAACAGAACATGTGTAACTATACAGAGAAAAATAAACAGATTTTTCTATAGGACTAATGAATGATGTTCGAAGAAGGATGAATGTAGTGCTAGTAATTATAGTTACTCACTTCAGAATCCTACACAGGGTTATTTAGGATTGCACTCATATTTGTGATTCCATATAGACTCACCAAAGCACTTTAGTTCTCCAACAAAGAGTTCTATTTATTGTGTGATATTCACTTGGACCCACCCTCAAGAGGAATAAGCTTAAAATCTCTGGTGCTTTATATTTTTATTATACATATGCTATATATGACATGTTGTTTATATTATTTGACTAAATTTGTCAAAATAAAGTGTGGTTTGATAAATTCTGACTGTCTAAAATTGAACTGACTACTTAAGTTTATGTGGAGGCTACTTCAGAGCTCTATCAGAAAACAAAATACTTTAACATGAAACATATTGTGGAAGGATAGTCCCTAATGAGAGTGCAAGAAATCACATTGAAAGTGGCATCTATCAAGATTTTCAGGTATGTTGCATAGAATAATTTATCTGTATTATTCTATACAAAGGGCTGGAGTGATAGCACAGTGGTAGGGCGTTTGCTTTGCGTGCAGCCAGCCTGGTCGAGCCGGGTTCGATTCCTCTGCCCCTCTCAGAGAGCCCGGCAAGCTACCGAGAGTATCTCGCCTGCATGGCAAAGCCTGGCAAGCTACCCGTGACGTAGTCAATATGCCAAACATAGTAACAAATGTCACAATGGAGACGTTACTGGGCCCGCTCGAGCAAATCGATGAACAACAGGAGGACAGTGACAGTGACAGTGATTCTATACAAAGTATGAAGTAGGCAGGGTGGGATGGGGGGAGGGGGGTGGGAGGGATACTGGGATCTGTGGTGGTGGGAAATAAGCACTGGTGGAGGGATGAATATTTGATCGTTGTATAATTGAAACCCAAGCACAAAATTTGTAAGTCTACAACTGTACCTCATGGTGTCTCACTTAAATAAATAAATAAATAAATAAATTGTGCCATCAACTAAAGTGTACATTCTATTGTTTGTTAAAAAGGCAGTGATAATCTGAAAGAAATGTATTTTTTATAATGTAAATTATTTCAGTAAGGAAATAATTTGACCAGCTTATATTATTTCACTTAAGAGTTGTTTAGCAATTTCATGTTATTTTATTACTAGATTAATTGCATTTAGTTAAAGGATCTTAATCAAATGTCTGGGCAATTGAGAACAGATATGTTATTTTCTAATATAAAAAAAACAAAGAACTCTGTGCACAAAAATGATTTTTAGGGAAATAATTATATTATCTTGAAAATGTATAAATAAGAATTTTAAAGGAACAGAAAGCTATGTTTGACCTAAGTAACCTTACATTAGGCCCACATATAGATAACGAAGTTATTTTGTGAACAAACATTTAGATCTTCTTTTAGAGTTTTTCAATGTTTCCCTGCTGGAGTGATAGCACAGCAGTAGGGCGCTCACCTTACAAGCGGCCAACACGGCCGACCCGAGTTCGATTCCTCCGCCCCCCTCGGAGAGCCCGGCAAGCTACCGAGAGTATTCGATATGCCAAACACAGTAACAACAAAGTCTCCAATGGAGACGTTACTGGACCTGCTCGAGCAAATCGACGATCAACGGGAGGGCCTTTTACCTTTACCAATGTTTCCCTAGAAGTGTAATACATGTCAAAAATTGATTTAAAATTAACCCAGTATTTTCAGTGGTTCATATTAAGTTCTAATGGACTTAGATCTTCCAATGAGCTGAATATTTTTTATAAAGAATATCATTCACTTGAGCTTACTCCAAAATAGCACTGGCAAATGAGGTATATCATAGAGCAGATTAAAAATTAGTTTTTAGATATGTCA